AAGTGCTGGAGACCGGGAGAGAAGTGAGCGAAGGAAAGGAAGTGAATTTCTGAATGGTGTGCGGAGATACACCAAGCAGGATTCGCCGCCAAAATTATAAATCGGCTCAGAGATAGTTCAGAGATCGGGTAAAAAGTGGGAAGAGGTTGGCGAGGAAGAAAAAGACAGGTGGGACTATGCAGAAATAGGGGGGTTTTACCGGAGGCTCATATGGTCAGAGCGGTCCGAGGCCGAAAAACGAAAATTGGTTTGACGATTACGGACAATTGGTGGAGGAAGGAGGGAAGCTCAAAAGCCATCGGTGGATGAAGCATGGGGCAATCGGATAGAATTCAGCTTGAAAGTCAAGTATTCGAAGTGTATTGGGCCAAATTCGAAAATTCACGCCGCACCATCCTATATCGCCGCAGAACTGTGCTGTGCGCGCAACGCGTGCGGCGCCAACTGGTTTGCATATATGCGCAAGAGCCACACCAATATGATCCTGGGGCGTGCCTTTATGTTAAAAAAAATCGACTGAAACGAATCGTCATGTATACTCAAGAAACTTTAAGGAATCCTCGATCAATATTTCTATTTCACCCATAAGTTACTGGGTTCGCACCCATCGTTCGCGATAAGAACGAAAAGGACAGAAAATTTGCGTTTGTTTTGGCAAAAAAAAAATCGAAAAAATGGAAAGGGCTGGCTACACGTTCAAAGCACCGCCGGACATCTGTCACAAGTGTTGGCGACGAGGATGCTCTCACTTGATTCTTGGAGTGCCGTCAACAGAAACTCTTTCTGGCCTTTTGATTTATTGCATTATCAAGCACTTCTACTGCATCCTATTTCTAACCAATTTGGCGTCTATTCTCAAAATGGACTGCTTCAACCCGATTCTTTAGTTGCATCGCGTGGTACGTATGGCGCCCCGAAGGCGGACTTCTTTCCATGCACCCGCCATTTGGCTCCGCGTCACTTTGCCTTCGATTGTCCATAGAGTGTGGTTTTTGTAAGTTTGTTTCTCTTCGGAAACTGAATCTTTGTGCGTGAAACTTTGTATGTTGTCTCTAGTGATCACAACTGACATATGCGTGTTGGGAAAGAATGCAAGATTTTTCCGAGAAGGATTTCTTCAAAGTGTCACAGAAGAAACACGAAACACTTGATGGCGTGGTGTATGTTCCTTTGCCCATGAAACGTGTTCCTTATCTGTAAAATTGCCTTGAGCCTTACCCTGACTATTTCATCCCCATACTCGTATTCAAAGGCACACTCTGTGACTAAATAAGTATGAGTTTCGCGTTCGAACTGCTTCTACGCCCGTCTCTTGTCTTGGTTGAAGTCGTCGCTTTTATTGGTATTTTCAGGGCTGGCTATGTTTAGAGAGATTTAAAGGGTATTACGCTGCGACGTTCTAGGTAATGTGCAGATTTGAGGATTACATGAGGCGGTCGGCAGGCTGAATACAAGCGGATTTGGCGGTCATGTACGCTCGCGGGAGCGAAAAGTTTTGAAAATCGAAATTTTGTACGGGCAATATTGATAGAGTGATGGAATTGTGAGTTATTGCGGATCACGGGTTTTCAACAGAGTCACTCTGTCTCGTGGAGTGTAGACGAGAGCGGGTCTCACTAGGAGTTACCTAACAAAAATTTTCAGGCCGATGTTGTGATGTCGGGCAACAGCAGAAGACAGTTTGAGCTTTATCCCTGTATTGCGTGATGATATGCCGGACGCCCATATCTTCGATGAAGGTATTTTTCATTATCATTATGGAAGTGTAGTTATGACGATCAAAGAGCGGGTGCTGTAGTCGGTTAAAAGCAGTGATCATAACTGGAGGGCGTTGCGGATTTAATGACGTCATTGAACGAAGGGTATGAGAGAGGCATTGTAAATCACATCGCAGGGTGTTGGGGCGGTCGAGCACAATCAATTCTTTCATAGTCATCAAGCTCCGCTCAGCCGTGTGATCACTGGTTCAAGGGTGCTCTCCCTTCTCAATCATTAAGGAACTCATATGGAGCTCATCCAAGGCATGCCACAACGAACTTATATATAATAATCGGCTAAGCGGTTGTGCGTGTGTGTGTGTGTGTGTGTGTGTATGTGTTTGTCTGTCTGACCGGAAATTCATAGCTCGGGCACCAGTGGTCGTCAGGAGTTGGTTTCAAGATATGATATAGGGGGTGGGACGGGAACATATTTGGTGGGGTACAGAAAGTGATACAACTGATAAGGGCTGATAAAAGGCGCTGAAACGCAAATTTCACGAAATTCATGTGCGCTTCGCAGCAGTGGTCAGGAGCTGATTTTGGGACATGATATAGGGGGTGGGACGCAAACATATTTGGTGGGGGTCACCAAGTGATAACGACTGATGACGACTGATATAACGACATGCGTACGAACGTAGAGAGCACTTGAAATAGAGAAATAGAGAGCAGATTGTAGATAATGCCTTTCATTTCAATATCATTTCATCAGCGTTGTAATTGTAAACTCAAACACCTTTCGACCGCTACACCTTCTAGAGTTCTTGAGGATGAATGGGATGCTCGAATAAATATGATAATGAATACTAGGCATTCCGTTTTGAGATATTCGACCGCTAAATTACCTCGATACTCGACGCATAGTGGTTGTTTACATCATCACTTTAGCTGTGCACTTCACTGCGCTTATCAAACAGTGAGATACAGAGATGAGCAGCCTATGCAACGGACAGTAATACATTTAACGAAGCAGCTATAATTTAGCGGTGAAACCTAAAGCTTCATCGATTGTCAGTTCTATCAATGCGCGCGGTAGCGGGCGGAGCTAAACTGGTCTAATTATTTTGACAAGCAGATGAAACGAAAGGAGATCGGTGGTACTCATGGTTAC